TATTGCACTTGTTAAGGCCAGCAGCTGCTGCAGCGGAGGGACGCAGCTCGGGAAGGCAGCAAGGCGGCAGAAGCAAGTTAAAAAGTCATAAAATGATATTTATTTCATTTCGCTGCTGCGTAATGCGCACTAACTGGGTGGTGGTCTGCCTCGCGGGTGGCATAAGCAGCCACTAAGGCGCGGCAGCCGCTGAAGCCATCTACAGCAGAAGAGGAAGCAGCTGCAGGAGAAGCTGAAGATGTGCTATAGATTTGCTTTTTATGTGAAATTTATATTTCAGCTCCAGAGCGAGCAGAAGTCGGCAAAATAACAAAGAGTGAAACGGGCTGTCAGCTGGGCTGGAAGGGAGGGGATGCATCTTGTGTCTTGGGGCGGGATTGGGTGCTCACTTGCGTTCGGGATGGGGGCTAAAGCATTTTCACACAACTATTTGCCGCTTTTATATAGTTGAAGCTTTGACTTCTTGCCAGGGGTTGCAGAATACGCTTTGGAAATGGCAATGGAAATGCTCTTCTCCATCCTTGTGGCTTTTTAATGTTTTCTTGTTAAAGTTTATTGAAAAACTTTGGACAGTCACGTTTGAGTAGTCAGCGGGTGCCCTGACTAACAGATATATACATATATATATATACATACATATAGAACGTATCTGGTGCCTGTCCAGAAATGAAACAGCTGCACGAGTGCACGCCCCAACGCCCACGAAACTGGAGCAAAGCGATTTTTGCCGTTTCGTTAAAGGGAAGAAAAGAAAAGAAAAGAAAAGAAGAAAAAAAACATGCATATAAAATATTTTCCGCTTTCATTTTTTAGAAGAGATAGACGTTGTCGGCCGTGGGGCTTTGCCAGTTGCCTCTCTTAGAGGGCTTGGTCATGTTTGTTCATAATTGAAATTTCGCGCTAAAGAGGAAGTAGATATTGTTCTCCATTCCCAAACACTTGTTGTTCCAGAGTGCGCTGCCTGAAAGCTTCTCTTGCCAGGGCCAATCGGGGATGAGCGAGTGGCCGGCCAATGGTGTTCATAAATGCAAAAATGCTCCAGTATTTATGGGGGAAAGTGCATTGAGGCTAGTGAAGAGCACATGTTTTGAGAAACACGATGAAAATAGTCTGCGAGGCTGCCTTTGTTTCGCCTGAAATCTCTGCGCCTGAGCGAGCACAATTTCAAGAAAAGAAAATAAAACGATATAACATTCAAAGATTCATAGCGCACATTCTGTGTATTTTAAATGGAATTGATGCTCTTATTTATTTTCGTATAATCCTCTTTTGCCATTTACTTTCCTAGCTTTTGTCAGAAGTTGTTATCATTGCCCTTGGTTACAACTGCCAGGCAGTTATATATACATATATAAGTTAGGATCGCAAGCGAAAAAAGAAGCTTAGGCAACGAGTTAGCATCGTATATTTAACATACATGAGCGATACCATATGATACCTTAACTTTAGTCAATGCCTTGATTTATCCTTTGACTGTAATGATATACCCGTGATATATGCATGTATATTTGCCCTTCTCCTGCATACTTTATGCTCTTTTCACTGCGTTTTCCTCAGCTATTCTAGCCCATTTATTTTCCTCTTTTGCTGCATGCGCCTGTCGCTGTCTTCTGTCCTCTGTCGTCTGTCAAGATGCATCGCCAGTTGTTCCCACTTTGTATTGCTGCCCCTGAGCTCCACATATACACATGCTGAATGCAGCTCCATCCTTGCACGTACTCCAGTGTGACATGTGCTTCCTCTGTTGTATTTTTGTTGGCCTCCCCACAATATTTTTGCTGTTATTTTCCACATGTGAAATTGAACTTTGCATCTTGGCGCAACGTGGCAGCTACAAACGCAACGCCATACCATTTTTTTTGTTTTCGTCTCTTTTCTGTTCTCGGCTGCGTCCACATCCAATGCTGCACTTGACTTGTGGCGCCCTCCATCCAAAAGTATTGCTCCCTTCTCCCATATTCTATGCTTGTGACGTTGTTTTGACACTGCGAACGCGCGCGCGTGCTTATAAATAAATATAAAGCATATATATACATACATATTCATATGCATGTGTATGTAATATGTATGGAAATATGTTTGGGAAATATTTCCACGCTTCTGTTCCCTGTTGGCTGGCAGCGCACATGTGTCGCATTTGGCTGATGGTTAGGCAGGTCTGGTGAGGACTGAGGGTGCAGCCCCTTCTTGTTTTCCCTTTGAAGTTCATAAAAATTAACAAAAAATCAATTTAAAACACAAATGAAGAGCTGATGAGGACGCACAATGACTTTGAATGCCGCTCGAGAAATGTTTACGTTACAATTGAACTGTGCGGCGCCTGTGATCTGAGCTGCCACGCCCACAGTAACTAGGGGTTGTTGCTTGTTGTTGCTACGAAATGCTGTTGCGCGTGTTGATTGCCCATCAAAACAAAGCCTGGCACATGAGGAGCACAGCTTGAGATTTGCATAGTTCGCTCAGTCCAAAACGAGCGCAAATAAATCCACTGCTAATGCCAAGAGCTTCAATCCGATATATATATAAATATTTATGCGTGTGCGTGTGTGTATGTGCATAGTCGTGTAGCTACAACGACGTGCAACAAAAAACTTGTGAACATAAAAATAGCGACGATTATGATGAAAATATTCATGCGGCAAACGGAAGCCGTCGCCAAGTGCCATGGCTATGTCCCAGGAGCCATACATTCGCAGCGTGTCTCCGACCGCCCGCTTTCCATATATATATATATATATATATACATATTTGTATATTATATATATACATACATATTAATGTGTGTTAGTGTTTGTGTATTTTGCAGCAGTGTTAGTTGCTTATATTCCAACGTTGGGCAGCCCATTCGAGTTCCACTTAAGGCGTCATCAGTGCCAAATGCGGCACTATCGAGTGGGGCTAACTCTTGAGATACTCAAAAGTCAAAAGATGGCAATATCCAAAGAAACGGTCGGCATTTTAAACTGTCGAGTACCGCCCGCTAATAAGTCAAGAAGAAGCAGCAGCAGCAGCAGCAGCAGCAGCACACATAATTAAATTTAATGCTCAACGCACAGGGTAAAACGCAGGCCAAAGCAGACAGTCGATTGGTTGGTCGGAGGAGGAGTAGGGGCAGTGGCAATGTCTTTATCCAAGCATCGAAATTCAATTTACTACAAAATCCCGCGCATTGGCGTGGCAATGCCAAGCGAAATAGAAAATGCCAGAAAATGTGTCTCGTTTTGGCCAAATCCTGTCATAAATTGTGGCACAGCCCAAAAAGCCCGGCAACAAAAGACAGACGCCCGGACTATATCCAAAAAGAAAATATGCTGATGTCGATGTCGAATTATGATTTGTTTTTCTTCTTTTTTTTCGAGTGGCTGCTATCCCAAAAAGGGCAGAAGCCAGCCGGTCGCCCGGGAAATGAGATATGACCGATGTTGCTGCTGTTCCTGCTGCTGCCTCAAGGTTAGATACTCTACAATAATCGGAGCGTAAATTACAACAACCAGTTGATGGCATCGTAAAAAGCACTAGGCACCAAGCTGTAGCAACATAGCAACACTTAAACACATACACTTGCACACACACGTATGCACTCACACACACACACACACACACACACACATACTTGCAGACACTCAGACACATGCTCGACCTCGCAAATTATAAAGTTGTTTGGCCAAAACTGCTGGCTGGCAAGTTTTCGTTTAAGTTTTCCCTTTCTTCACATGTTTTCTTTTTTATTTGAGGAAAAAAATCTGCAGCACGTTTTATGTAACGCACATTGATAAGCATTTTGGCAGTCGGTGAATGATTTGCAAGTTTGCACAAAATGCTTGCACAAGCCATCGTTTTGTGCAAACGTGTGCGGATATCCAGCATCGAAGCTGAGTCGGGAGGAGGCGGAGCCAGGCATGGCCAGCCCATGTTTCGTTTGTTGGTCAGACACATAAAATAGAAGGCAAGTAACTCGCTGCAGGGCACAGCTTTGCATATCTTAACATAAAATCCTTAAAGTTTTTTTTTCTTTTCCTTTGGCATATGGCAAACGAGTAAATATGATTTCAAATGCCAACGATTGCAAGGATTCTAATTCAATATCTGAAGTACTTGCAATGATTTCTTTGATTGTGCTATGATATATTTGTACCCGTTAGCTTGCATATATGATTCAAAAGAGTATGATCGTGAACATGTATGCTAAGAATGTGGTTAGTTTATAGATAAATCTACATATATACTCTGGATAGGCTAAATACCCCTTCAGGGGCAAATAACTGATGGATTGGTGATCAACGCATAGCCCAAAGAGTTAGAAAGCTGAAATTTGGACTGAAAATATTTTATAGCAGCCATTTGCGATTGCATAGATATTTATTTAAATTCATGTGGGGCCTGTTTTTTGTGAAATTCACCTATCCTGGTCAGAAAGTGCTTTAGTTTTGACTTAAAGCAGCGAGCCAATTATACGGTTTATAGATCGGTAAAAAAAAACATATTTTTAAACATATATTTAAATTTTACATTCTGCAATCAGTTAGAATTTAAGACATTTTTGTATAATATGGTCTTCCAATCCACCAAATTTACCAGGAAATCTCGTGTACGGAAATTTTTAGAATCCATATCGTTATAAACCTTCAAATAACGGTTTCGTCAAATTTTGTCAAATGGTGTAGTGGGCAGTATGTGGAATAGTTATATCTTAAATATTTATCAAAAAGATAAGTCATTCGAGGCCGGAAAGTACCAACTATTATTGAAATAAACTAACGAATACCGTTTCAAATACAGTTTCCGCATATTTTTGCACACATATGTACATAAACAATTTTTTTTTTAATAAACAAAAGTTCTTGAAACAAAGCATTCTGGATGCGCACGTTTGCACATACAAACGTAGATAAAAATAAATATAAATATGTGCGTTCATATATGAAGGTGTACATCAATAGCCGAGGGTATCTTCTGGGAAATCAGTCTGTCAGCTAGTAAATTGTGCAACGTGTACTTACTGTTCTTTTGAAAATCCTGCGACTCCTCTTCCGCCAGGGTGCCTTCCGGCTGCAGACATAGCAGCAACAGCAACAACATCACCGAAACGACAATTGAAACCATGCTCCCAGTGTCCAGCAGCGTTCGCGTTCGTGATTTTCGATGTGTATTGTGTTGTTGCTGTTGCTCGTGCTGTTGCCAATCGGTGAGTGTTGCGCTTGTAGATGTTTTGAGTTGCATTTTTGTGGTTGCTGCTGCTGTTGCTGTTGCAGTTGCACTTGCTGTTGCCATTTCGTGTGCTGTTATTAAAAACTGCATTGTAATCATTGCGTTGTGCTCGAACACAGAAACGTCTCGTCATTTATGTGGCAAACTTCAATTTGGACAATAAGTCAAAGCAACGAAACCAAAACCAGGGATACCAATAAAAATGGCCGCAATACATGTGGTTGCCGCGACGTTAATAGACAGACGCCGTTATTCTCTTGTGTCGCGCTTGTGTGTGTGTGTGTGTGGCGTTTCGTAAGAGCTGCTGTTGGCTATTTCCGTTTCCGTTGCCGTTTCCGCTTTTCACTTTAATGAAGCGCCAACGCGCCTTTAGTTAGCTTTCACTTCAAGTTGGCCCATAAAAAAAAACACACTCGCATTTCAACTGGCATTTATATGTGGCTCAGCCGTTGGTTTCTTTTGATGGCTGCTGTTTTGTGCTCTGCTGCCACGGGAATCTTAATGTCCTTTTACATGTTTATTTGCACTTTTATTGCCTTTTTGGCATAGCAGATTTGAGAAGTCCCTCGACTGCCGCACTGCAAATAGAAAAGCAAAAATAAAACATGAAACATGAGCTCCAGAGTAACTTCTAGGGGTTTGCTTTCACCATTCGCCAACCCAATAACCAAAGCCAGACAACAGCTTTGATCAAGGCAATTGCTGGCCTTGGTTATACACTCACAAAGGGTATCGCAATATAGTCTTGAGTTATTTAACGCTTGGAAAGAGACATCTCACACCATAAAAAGTATACATACTTAGAGCTTCAATTACGAACAGCTACCATACTCGAACGGCTCCCAAAGTCGGACATTTTTCTACCACGCAAGCTCTTTATAATTTATTCATAATTCATATACTAAAGAAAATATGAAATTATTAAGAGAGAGAGAACAACGGTTTAGCCACTTGTCTGCCTTCTGGATCAAACATGGGTCAGAATAATAAGCGACTTTTGCAGCTCAATGTCTGCAAGGGTATTTAAGCGTCGACAAGCAAATAGGCTAACTAGCCAATCTTGCTGTTGTTCTTGCTTTAGCAAAATATGAAAAGTGCTAATAAAATATTTTTACTGACTTGCGAGGCACACACATCAAGCAAATTGAACTCGTAAACTTGGTTGCCGCCAAAGGGTAAGCGGCAGACTTTACTGGCCTGGAACTGGCCCCGTAGCTGGATACCAAATTTGATATTTTATGTGCCCAGCGCATCGATGAAGTGTGATTAATGGCGCATTTCAATGTGAGTCTTGTAATTAAGGACGCCAACGTAGATTTATGAGTGTTGCTGCTGTTGCCACAGCTGTGTCAGCACGGCCTGCAACCAATACACCTTAATCCCGGCTGCTCTATTGTCCGGCCAAATGTTGCTGCTGTTGCTGACTGTTAACTGCGTACTAAGCACGAGCGTCGGTCATTAAACAACGCATCAAAATTGATAAACCAACCCCCTGGCCACTGAAATAGTAGCAGCCAGCACCCCCAGCCGCACCCCCGTGCCCATCACCAACCCTTATCGTTGGCAGCGCGTTGTTAGCCAAGCGTTGCAGCCACGCATGTGTCATGGTTTGTTTGGCTTTGGCCCAATGTGGCTGGCTGCATTAATGAAGTGAGGATGGGCGCGACAAGAGCGGCGACAGGCACGCGAATGATTTTTGATGCTGCTGCGGCTCACCTTACGCCCCGAAATGCGTAATTATGCAACATATTCCGCATTTTTTTTGTGTGCTGAGTGCGGTTCTGCGTTAGTTAGTTTGTTTGTTAGGGCTGGCGTCCATTTTTGGGCTGTGCTGCTTAATGAGCAGCAGACTAACCCATAAAAAAAGGGAATAAAAGTTCATAAATTTTTATGAACTTTGAAGAGGTATTTTGATTAAAATGACAACCGAACGCAATGCAAGGAGAACAGAGGTACGATTGCTGCTAACTGCCTGCCGAGCCATTTGCCGTTTGCATTTAATTGCATATTTACTTACGCCTCCATAAAAAGTTGTTACCTTTTCGATTCATGTTACCTGTAAATAAGTGAACAAACACAAGCAGTCGACAGCTTGAAAGCAAAAACTTTGCTCATTAGTAAATTTCATGTCGGCAGCATATAGTCCAACATTGGAAAGAGAAAAAAAAAGGTACATATACAATGAGTAGTTTCTGGCGCAGCTGCTGCTGCTACTCTTAGCAGTTAGTTAGCATATTTTATTACTGATTAATTAACTCGGAAACATTAGCTATCTGCGCAGAGTCCTTGCATTAGGCAATGCCTCTGCCCTGGACGAGTCATTGAAATTGAACTTGGTGGATTTGCTAATTAAAAAAGTTTGCCGGCACATGAATACGAGGTGTGATTCCTTCCTCTTCCTGTTCCCTTTCTTAGGCTGTGGCCATTGCGTGTGTCTGTTGCACAACTTTTGACATCAATTGACAGCACTGAACACACAGCAGTCTGGTCAGCGGGCGCATTAACTGTCCAGTAGTGTCATTTTGCTCGAGATTCAGATTATTTTCATTTATAAATAGCTTGGCTATCTTTCGACTATTGACTGTATGTAACAGGATCAGCGTTGTCTGCATCAAAAGTCGACTACAGCTTTGGCATCTCACCTATTTTTGTATTTTGTTTTGAGCTCGACCCAAAGGCAATTATATATTTGCTTGTTTTCGACTATTGATTGGCTTTTTGCCCAGGTGTGCCTTCGTCTGAAACAACACTTGCCTCCAGCTCTCAGCATTCTGAAACATGACTGAGTCTGGGGCCTTGAGCCCTGAGCCATGTCAAATTACCGCAGCTACTCCATCATGTTTAATTCAAGTTCTGGCAGGTGTACCCACCCACGCACACAAGACCAGCACCTCGGCTACGGCTGTGGTTGACATGGAGGCGCGTAAATTTATGAGCGAATGCTCAACTTTCCCATAAATGTTCATCATAATGTGACACAATTTCCCCAAGATTTAACGCCGCATCAACCCAGGCGCCCAGCCATCGAATGAGTCTGAGCCATTGGAATGCGAACGGGTATGCGAATGTCATGGCCATTGTCATGCCTTGTGTGCAATTCGCATGCTTCATAAAGTCGCTAGGCGCATAACTCGTTTTACTTTTTCTCCCACACAGCAGCTGATGGCAGCTGACATAAATTTTAAAATGAAATAAAAATAATAATATAATAAGAAATATAAATTCTAGCGCAAGTCAACGCCTTGACACACACACACACACACACATGTGCTCACACATACATTATATAGATAGACATAGCATTGCTTCTTATCAAAGCCAAGACAAGACGGGGCAGCTGGCACTGAGTCATGACGGGCAATCACAGTCCTTGCACTGACTGGGCCTTAAGACCGTGCCAGAACCCTACAGCAACAGAAGCGACTGCAATTGCTGCTCCGCTATGAAGGGTGCCTGTCTGTATGTGTGCATGTGAGTTGATGTGTGATATCATAAGCATGCGTCTGACAAGGATAAGCACCGCTACTGTCACTGTCGCAGCAGCAGCAGCAGCAGCAAAGGCAGCAGCAACAGCCCCTGGCGACAATGCGTGCTATTACACCGCGCGGCATACTTTTAGCGCCACTCAAAGCACATTTCACTTTCATTGTGTGCGTGCGTGTGTATGTGTGAGTGTGCAAATAAAAGTTGAATTATGACAAAAGGCATGCATCAGGCAGCAGCGGCAACAACAACAATAACAACAACAGCAAGACCAATAACAACTATGGCCTGATAATGTGCTCTTCACCCACCACCTTGGCTCGTCCTTAAACGTGTGTTTACTTAACGCGTGCGTTTGATTGTCTGTGTGTGTGTGCCGTTTAACATGTCGTATGCGCAATTTGTGAAATATGTGAGCGCTTTGCCAGCCAGCATGAGTAATGAGTTGCCCGTGTGTGTGTGTGTGTGTGTGTGTAGTGTGTGAGTAAGCAATTAGTTGCCTTTTCAGCTGAAATAAAAGCAAATCTTGCGAAAGTTCAGTAGGGGGTTAAACACACAGCAGCTCATTAATATCCTTTATACGTTTATTACAGCAACTGACAGCATCTTATGAAAAACATTAATAAATGCGCAACACCACATCTAACAGAAGCAATAGGCACAACAACAACAGGCAAAAGTAGTTATTGGATTAACAAAGGGAAATCGCATCACGCACGGAAATCCAAATCAATCAGATAATGCAATATTATTAATTGCCCCAATACGTTTGGTTAGCCAAAAATCATTAATTTGCGAATATTAATCGGCAAAGCTCGCACATTGGGATAATTTAAAATATATGACATATGCCCGTAAATTGTTCCTTACCCCAACGAAATGCAGTTTAACCAGCTGACCTTTTGGCCTGAATCACAATTTTTTTATGTCTGACTCAGTTTTTCATGTATTTTTAAAAATACTTTTTCTTTTATATTTTTTTCATGTTGCCATAGTAGCACTAGCAAGAAGCCTTTTTTATACCCTTTATCAATCGAAACTAGGTAAAAAGGGTATAATGTATAATGTGAAAATATATGTTACAGGCAGAATGAAACATCTCCGAGATCATAAGAATTGTATATTCTTACTCAAGAGCTGACACAGCCCACTCGTCTTTCATACTAATCGAACTATTAACACCAGAGCAAAAGAATAGTATAAATGATAAATTGAATGTTTCTGACGACAACTTGGATCTGGACTCAGAGTATCTCCTAGTCGGAAACTGGCCACTGGTGCCCTCTGGGATATTTTTTTATTTATTTTTTTTTTGGGCACGCGTCCAGTTTAAACACACACAGACGCATGCACACACTATTCATGCATAAATCACTTTATTTATCCTGCACTCGTTCTTTTGCCATTTCATACCCTTTAGATATAAAATGGGTTAAAAACGGTCACATTATTAACTAGGATTTTATTTATTATTCTTCGTCAGCAATTCCAGCTTGGTTGGTCGTTTATAAGTTATTTATTTAAGAGAATATTAGCTCTAGAAACTCTATGCCCAACATTTATTAACTATACTCTCACTGAGTGGGAGAGACCTGGGTGCAGGATATTTCCTAATCGAACTCTATTTCCCTAGTTTGGTGGGCTTAATTAAGTACTTCACGTATATGCTAGAAAAATTAATTTGATTAACTATTGCTAAGAATATAACTTTGGACTGCCAATTTGAAGAGTTACAAGCAAATGTGGTATTTTATTTAGTTTCACTGCAATCTTTGAATTTTGCAATTTACCGTACTTGAGGCGATGATTGTGCTCAGGAAAACGGAATGTTAGTAATTAAATAGAGTGCAATTGATTCTCAATAAATGCCACATTTTCATTAGATGTGGCTTAATTAAATAAATGTTAATTTTTGACAGCTTTAAGAATCATCTGCATCGCCCCAAAGTATTTTATCGTGCCCTGAAAAACCTTTATTGAAAACAATTTACCTATGTTTAAGCCTTAACCAAATGTAGAAATTTAATTGGCTTTAGATTTTATGACCAGCTCACGTCAGTTACTTGAAATATCCTGTGAGCCTGAATGCATATGT